GGGTGTGGTACAGGGTGTGTGGCAACGCAGGTGGTGATGGTAGGGGCACAAGGAGCTGTGCCTCGGAGGACAGCGTTGGTGGCGGCCGCATTGATGAGTCAAGGCTTGGGCTTGCTAACTCAGCCCCGGGGTTTGCCGAGGTAAAGCTTGTGACATTAAGGCGTGCTGCTGCAACGGCAGGTGCAGGGTTGCCAGCAGCACCATCGGCTGCAGTTCTTTCATCGCTATTTCGTTTTAATAAATCCTTAGACCTTTTAAGCCAATTTCTGATGTCCATTTTGTAATTCAAACAGAAATGGGAGTCTACAGAATGCACAATAAACAATAAACAAATAGGCGGCAGATTGTGACGCTGTGATTGGTCTAAATGTGGACGAATCACAAATCACAACAGACACATGAATTTATTTGACGTAGCCTGCGATTTTTTTTAGTTACTATCTGACATCACATACATCGTAGCATAAAAGTTCACAGTGTATTTATAATAAAAAATATATATATATATTTTAAAATTTTATAAATAATAAAAATCGTGTTTATTGGGGGAGGGCAGGAATGTCAAATGGGAGGGCCTGGCCCTCCCTGGCCCTCCCACGGCGCCGGGCATGCGCTCATATCTTTATTGCGTCAAATTACAGTCTGTATCCGCTGTCATTCAGAATCTATTGATTTGACTGAACGTGTTGTCTACCATTCATCCTTTGGGGGAAATATTGACTCAAATAGAAGGAAATTGATAAAAAATAAGCTGTGTGTTTAGGTTTAGACCACTACGAAAGCTGTAGAACAATTTCTTAACAAGCGTAACTTTTCCTTGTTTGGTCTTCCAGCACCTTGGGCGTTTGAAGGACTCTGGGAAATATCCCGCCTTATTTTTAATCCAGCGAAACGTCAAAGTAGCTTTCTAGATATCCAATATCCTAACACTAGTCTCCGGGATTATTCTGCTTACCCGGCACATCCCGCCCACACCGATGGGTTTATTCAACACTTATTTGATGGCAAACTCGGCCCAGCTGAATCAACACCAGCACACCCCGGGATAGTAACCAAGTGCAGATACTCCTGGCTGTGAGATGCAGATATTAAAGAGTTATTTGATTCAATAAATGTCTTTGATTACTATGAGAAGCTATTTTATGAATACATTTTATTATCATTATTAGATGATTAATTAATGGATCTCTCTGTGTAAATGATTAACTCATTTAGTTTTACCATTTTAAAATAGTTAAAGGGAGGAAGCATAAGAATTGAATTTAAGACATTGAGCTTGTGTCCGTTTTAATGTTATTTGCATTATTATTCAAAGTGGGCATTGTTCTGACATGTTTTCAACATGCACCTTATTTATTTTAATTATTTACCAAATCATATTTCCTTGTGATTTTTTTAGGATGTTTTTATGATATCAGGGTGTTTGCTGTCATGGATGGTAGTGATATTCTTCTGTGCTCTCTGCGCAAACCCATCCCACGAGGGGCAACAAAGGTTTTATTCATTGGAGGTATGATAATAATGTACTCATCATAATAAAAAGTAACTTAAATAAATGCTAAAAAGCACATTCATTTACAGTGACCTTGATAAAACTATTGACATTCTGTGACTTGAAAAAGAAAATGTTTTACCTCTAAATATTAGCATCAGTATAAGCCTCAAATCCAGTATGAGTTGAGGTATCACGTACACAAAATGAGCTTTATTTAAAGTTTACTATCATAGATATATTACCCGCAATAAGCAGTTATAATTAAGGCAACTAAGTTCCAACTGCAAAACGTCTCAGAAGTGCCTGCCTACCTCTGTGAATAAGCTAAGTCGATCATTTTTTTACCAGAACATAACACAACTGTTGTTGGTCATTAAAAAAAACACTCTTCCACTAAGCTGTTTTGGGATGAACAGGAGTATCAGCCTATCACAAGTCAGCTGTTCTGTTTTCTGGCTGCTTGTATGAATCACAGAAATCAGAGGATTTGCTCACAAAAGCAAAGTAGATCTCTCTGCATATATCGTTCAATATTTTTTACTCAGAAGAAACATCTATACACCTCTGAGGGAATGGAACCATGAACCCTATCATTACTGGACAACCTGCTGTACCTCCGCGCCCACAGGCCTGCTCACAGTTTGTAGTAACGATCATACAAAGAAACACATAAATATAAACATACAACTTTTAGCAGTTACCAAAGTAAGAACAACTACTTTTTCAAATAAAATTAGCCCCCCCCCCCCTTTAATGCACTTTGAAGCAGGTGGTGGAGACCAATGTTCTCCATCCATTTATAAGTGACTGTTATTTTTGTATATATTGGCTTTTGCGCTTTATATTTTGTATTGATGATGGAAATGTGTATATGTGTCTATGTTTGATTATGTAGGAGTATACATATATATAAAAAGGGGTGTACAGGAGTATGTATATATCTCTGTCTGTATCTCACACAGAAGTTTGACAATAAAGTTGACTTTCACTTTCCCTATTCTAGAACATTATGTCTCTATCCTCCCAAACTTTTTTATAAGGTGTAGGAAATGTATGGCTAGTTTGTGAAATGCATGGATAGTCATTTTTATCTTGTGGCCATCTACCATGAACAGCAACATTTTTAATAAAGAGGCTGTTTGTCTCATGTTCATATAGCAGCCGCAGGAGAGGTCAGGCTTAAGGCTCCCTGTGAGCAGAACACATTTTATTAAAAACCCAGAGTGGAGCTGAGAGACCAGAGTGCAGTGGAGCCAGAAATACCTGAGCACATATTCACACACACAGCTACTGAGGGACAGGAGGTATAATCAGAGGTTATATTGATGTATGACTCCTTTCCTTCTATAATAGCTTTAAAATAAACTTTTCTAATATAATATCCGGCAACACTTTATATTAAGGTACACAAATTAACATGCATATTAGCAGTAGATTGGCTCTTTATTAGTCATTGTAAAACACTTATTAATGCATGACCGTATTCTACAAGTAAAACGCCATTAGTTGGGAGTTTTTCCTCAATAATCCTCTAATTAGTGCTTATTTATTGCAAGTAAGGAAGTTGTTGTACATGAGTTTTGGTCTACATGCTCTGCTCAATATGGGCCTAATAAGGCAGTAGTAGCACAAGAATAGTAATTCTACCATAATAACACTTAACAAATATGGTCTCTTATGTAACAAGACATGAAACTGTAAGTGTTAATTGTGTCTTAAGTAATTCAAAATTAGGTATTTATATCTAAGAATATGTTTTGGGGTATTGACAGTTCAGCTACCAATAGCAAGGTGATATTGACCTCTATGTTTCATATTTGCACATTTATATATTTGTAACATTTGTACTGAAGGTTAGACAGGAAACCGGGTACAGGAAGTAGGAGAAAGTGAACTGAATAGCATGGCAGTAGACCAGGGGTACTCAAATACAAATCTTAAAGGTCCACAAAGAAAATGTTCAATAAGACAAAGGTCCGTTTAATACGGTCATTCAAACTTTTAAACAATTGTAACAAGATTCTTAACACGAGATTGCAAAAACAGTCTCGAAGTGAATCAAACCATCCCAGGAATCAAAGTCGAAATAAGTCCAGAACTATTGTACATTGTGTCAAACACTGTTGCTTAATGAGAGAAGTGGCACCTTTGGTCTGTTGCCAAGACTTTGAACTTTGGCACAAAAGGCGTGATGGCCAGGCGGACACACTGATGCAAGTGTTCATTGGTGAGTCGGCTGCGGTACTTGTTCTTCACCATGTTCATTGTTGAGAATGCAGACTCACCCCTGTAGGTTGAGCCAAACATTGTGA